CTCGTATTGTTTATTTACGGTCACTTGTTATAGCCTGAATTTATTTGCTAACAGAAAGAATCTGCATTCAACTTGAAGGATGTCTCAAGTCAGCTTTTCTTACCTGAGGGCTGCTGCCATGATGCAGCTATCGTCAGAACATAAACAACCACTGGAGTCATCGTGGTCCATGCCCAGGTTGTGGCCCATCTCATGAGACAGTGTTGCTCCCACTGCTATGGCTGCATCACTGTGATCCTAAGAAAAAAATGAAGCACAAGAAAGCAGCAAAAATTTACTAACAGCAAGAGAGAGCAACACAATAATGTCACATGTTTGTCTCAGTTTTAACATTTTCTCAGTCTATTCAGTCGGGACTTTCAGACTGCATGGATCTATTGACAGAGTTAGTGTAGTGGTCTACAAGTGCAGTGCAAAAAGGAGGAAAATATTTTAAAGGATTTTGTGAAAAATTCATGATTAGTCAAAGAATGAGTTTTCCACGTTGCACTTATGGAGATGTGTGCATCTCAAATGTGCAAAGAAGACTTTGTAGACCGAGTCTAGTTCTAGATCATAATTTAACTTAGTTTTTCTCTTTTAGCAGGAAGTGGTCACTACATGTTAGTGATAAAGTGATGGAACTGTCATTTATTTTCTCTGGTATTTGGTCATTAATCAAAGTATCAGATAAACAATTAAGTTGATTTTTGAGGGGCAAAGGAATGACTGAACTAAATGGATTTAGGAACATGTTTCCAAAATTCACATTTACCACAGCATGAAGCAAGGGCAGAAGTTATGAAGTCGGTGAGATACATCATCTGGGAAGCATGAACACCTCACCTGTACTACGCCGACAGAGTGACCAGAACAGAGAGTCCCGATGAAAGCAAGACCCACAGTTGGTCCTTCAAAGTCGATACCACTGAAAGAGAAGATCAGAAAGTCTTAAATTCATATACAGGATTCATATCATCCATCTACTCACTAATCTAGCTACTACTAGATTAGATTAGATTAGATTAGATTAGATTAGATTAGATTAGATTAGATTAGATTAGATTAGATTAGATTAGATTAGATTAGCTACTGTGAATTTTCCTGAATGTTGAGGTGTGAACATTCAAGCACATTCTTATTTAAGATTCAATAATGGATCTGCTTGTGGTTGTATCTTGTGTATAAAACACAAGTTACACAAGCGTTATGTGGAAGCTTAAAACCTCTTAAACTGATGTGTCAGGCCGGTTTAACCTGGGAGAAAAAAATATGGATACTCACAACTCAGATTTCTGAAATTAGTTTTCTCTTTCCTGCTCGGTTACTGTTGAAAGTAGGAGACATTTTGCTCCACGTGATTTGAGTCTGACTGATTCTACTTATACAATTTATCCATACCTTATAAGATGTGCATTGTCATGTTTTATCCTCGTCACCAGCTCAGAGTTTCTCCACTTCATGAAAGCATCCAGGTTTGCTCCTGCTGGGGGGGTCACAGAGATCAGGTCACCATTCGTCCATATCTCCAACCCCACCAGAGCAATAAAGGTCCTCAGAGGTTTGTAGACCTGAAGAAGACAACATTGGGGATGTAACATTATACTCCAACTGCTAGCAGCTACTGCAGAACAGTATGTAGTACAGTGCGTCTGTATTGGTATGGAATCTGTATAGAAATAGCAAAAAAACAGACTCACCATGTTGACAAAGTTGACAATCTCAAATATTCTCTGTCTCATCTTCTTTTGATCCCTGTTCATCTTCACATACTGAAACACCACAAGACAAATTTCTCATCCTG